GGGGGGACCTGGGCTTGGCTGGCATCTCAGGCCCGCATCTCCTCCCGCCAGGCGTGGACGCTGACGCAGACCCTGCAGCCCGCACTGTCCAGGTGGCCTCCAGCCTGCTCCCGAGAGCCTACCCCCACCTCACCCCCGTCTGCACCCAGGCATCTGTCCGGCACTCTGACTCTGAGTGTCAGGCCCCTTCACCACCAGGACCCGGCCCAGGCACAGCTCCTTGTGTTCCTGGCAGGCAGAGGCCCGTGGCCGGCCTTTGTTACCAGAGGTGCCAAAGCAGGCCAGCCCTTGCTGGCACCGGGCCAGTCCCGAGGCCCAGCCAAGTGCAAACAGCATGCCTGGCGCCCAGATACGGCGTGTTAGAGCGGGCGGGCTGCCCACTGCCCCCGTCACAACAAACCATCTCCACTCTGTCCAGGGGCCCTGGGAGCTGGGGACTGCCAGGGCAAGCCACCTGGGACCGACCGTGCAGTGGGATCCCGCCTGGACATGGCAGCTCCAGGTGACAGCAGCTGAACAGGGAGATGGGTGGAGGGCACGGGTGGGCAGTTAAGGGGGAAGGGGGCCGCATAGGGCCAAGTCACGGATTCTTTAACTTTACGAGTGGCGCCAGACGTGGGGGAGAGCGGGACGACTGCTCCCAGCTGCTGAGCACAGGGCAACCCTGTCTGTCACCAGCGAGGCCCTCGGGGTCCCGACTGGGACAGGGAGCCAGCAATCATGACAACAGCACGCCTTACTGGGCGCACGGTACCTCAGACACCAGCAATGTCGCCGGGACCTCTTCACCAGGGCAGGCGGCTGGGACCGTTCACTGAGGTGGCCACAGGCCATGCGCAGCCGCTAGGGCAACTGAGAAATGCTTCCTATTTTTAAGAGGTTTTTGCCTTAGGGTACATGCCACACCATCTGCTGGCCACAATAAACACTTCTTACTAGTACTTAGAACTTTTATTTCCCTGAGAAATTTTTGCTATAAGACACAAGTGCTCACTGGAGACAGAGATAGAAAGCAAAAAGTTCCCCCCAGGAGGATGGCCACACCACAGTCTCTTCTCCTCCGTTCTCCTCTTGGGATTTTGGGCACGCACGCACACATGCCCTGTGTGAGTTTCAAGCCACTGGGTTCAGGACTCAAATCATGGTCGACCATGAGGGAGTCCAGCGACATAGCCTCTCTTCTCCTCCGTTCTCCTCTTGGGATTTTGGGCACGCACGCACACATGCCCTGTGTGAGTTTCAAGCCACTGGGTTCAGGACTCAAATCATGGTCGACCATGAGGGAGTCCAGCACCTTTACTATGTCACCTGCTGGCCCCAATACTTCCACTTTATAATGTTGTTATTTCATTAAATTTCATATTGAATAGTCGCAAGACATATTGGGAGGTGCAGATTACACCAGCATGGATCCTTAAGCCAAGCCTGGAGGTAGAGCTATCTGCATTTTACGAAGGGGGAAACAGGCTCACCTGAGACTGCACAGCTGGTCGGCCAGAGAGGCGAAACCAGAGCAGGCCTGGCTCCACCTCCATGCCCCCCGCCAGCTTATAGTCAATGCTGGAAGAAGACAGTGCCAACTGCACAAGAGCAGGTGGCAAGGCTGCCTAGTTAATCAAGGCATCGCACGTCTTTGCCTCTGGCCCGAACTCTGTCAGCTCCACGGGTTATCCCACGCAGACCAGAACTTCTGACGGGCCATTTGCTTTGCTTTTTTTTTGTAAAGGCTTTTTTCCTATAAGGCGCGTACGCTCGCCAGAAAGACAGAGAGAGACAGAGAGACCGAAAGCGAGAAATC